AAAAATGACGTGACAGCTTGACACGACTCACGCGTTATCTGTCGAAAAAATGTTATTGAAAAAAAGTACCTACACTAAGAACACCATTTGTTCTTAACTCACGAAATATACCTACATACATAACTATAAACAAAATAGAATGCTTTAAACTAAACAACAATACTAGAGAGATCCAACCAACTCGTCTTAATTATTAATGCACAACGAATTGATTGCAAACCATATAAAAAGCTTGCAATATCTTGTTGCTAGGTTCCAGATATAGAACATTACTTCCTCTCCTTTTATTGTAGAAACTGCCGTAAATTCTTTTCTACTCTTTAATATGCACACAACAATAAATAAATGCATATGTAGGCACAATAATGTGGACTGCAAGCAGACTAACCGATTTGATATGCACCGATTTCAGATTTCGAACGCTTTAAAGGCGGGAAAGAGGTGGTCAGCGGCAAATCGAATGACGGCTCTAGAACGGAGAGAAACGCAAATGCAGAAGGTCGTCGGTAAGCGCAGGCCAAGGATGTTCTTATGAACATACGAGTTTGTTTGCACATATAAACATTTACGCATGCGCAGACAAAAACTTATATGCACATATGTATGTATTTATTCATACAAATAACTGATATGAAGATACCATGATGGCTTTCAGGTGTATCGAAATGAATGTTAATTTTTTTAGAAACCTTTGGAAGTTAAGTTTGCTTGTTGGTCAGATGTTTGTATGGCAATATGTGTGCAAGTATGTATGTATGTATGTATGCTCATAATTTTTTGTAGGTTTATAAATCAGCAATAAAATTCACAACTGAAATAAATGAAAAATAAGAATTAATATATACACATATCTATATACATACATATATACATAAATGTATGCCTGCATATTTGCACGCATATGCACAACATTCATTATTTTCAATAGAGGCATATTATGTCTTATTCAAAAAACAGTAATTTGCCTAATAAAAATAATTTATTTTATTTAGGCTTGCACTTTTAGGATTTTTGCTAACTCAGTCCTCAAACTTATATGCATATATTCGTTTTATATACGTACATATGTATGTATATATTCCAGTTTGGCAACTCCACAATCATTAGTGACGAAATGTTAAGAACCAAGATTATGGTACAAAAAAAAAGAAGTTGAATGTAAAGAAAACATAAAAAAAAATTTCAGAGATTTAAAGAAGCTGCTTATAAACCACGTATAACGAAGCAAGCCAGCATTGAGTTAATAACTGTCAAAGTACCGCTTTAATGTGTGCCTTTTTTCGCCTTTTTGTGGCAGTGAAGCGAAAAAATTATGAAATTGGCAGTTGGAACAGAGGATTTACACAGAGGCAATTAATTTTTTTCCAGTGTGCACATATTTATATCATACCGTTATTTGCAATAAACAGAAAACATATGTTCAAATACTTTGATGCAAAATTTTTAATATTAAGAAAAAAGTTAAATTCGGTTGTACCGAAATAATAATAAATGAAAAAATAAAATAAGAATAAAAGAAGTTTCCATATAGAAATTGGATTTCGGTCAGTCACTTTATAAGGCAAGTACATACTACTGTGAGCAAAAAATAGCAATAATGTTAAAATTCTTCAAAATCTATGCCACCCGCCCTAAAACATTCCCGTTTGGACAAATACACTTGTGGGAAGGTTTCTTACAAATCTTGAAACAGTTAATTCCGGAAAGTCAATTTCCGGATCGGAAGGAATTCGGAGTGAACCACACCTCGATCACCAAAAGAAGCTGTCAACATAACATTGATTTTTGTCCTGCTTGGAGTGGTTTTTTGGCTTCGGCTCACCTTTGCCACGATATTCGGCCGATCGATCATTTGTTTGCGTGTCGTAAGCTTATATGCAGGAGTCAACGCCAGTAATAATACGTTTTGTGACATCCTGGTAGTTTTAAATCATTCTTTTACAGCCGGTTAGCGCGACGCTGTTTTCACAAAAAAAGAGCGACTTCGCAACCAATCGTGCTTTCACCTTTCTTAAGCCCAAATAATTTTTCAAAATAGTTTTCACGGATCCTTCCGATATTCCATCTAGTAAGGTCTCTGACTGTTAATCATCAATTCTCAAACACCAAATCCTTTATTTCATCGACGTGTTCATTATCAGTTGATGTGGATGGTCGTCCGTGGAACGTGGTTCGTTGTCTACGCGTCCCTCTTTGAATAATTTCTACCAAGAAAAAACTTTCCCTCGACAAACAATTATCACTGACGGCCTTTTCCAAGATTCTGAACGTTTCGGCACCAGACATGTCACCTACATATAGTGTTCCGATCAGAATAATTTCTTCGGAAATTGTATCGTTGCCTCAAACAAAACTCTGTGCCAAATTTCGTGAGCAAATCTCGTTATATAAATAAGTTATATAGAAATATGTGTCTAGGGGAGAAACAAACCTGTGAAAATTTTCAGAACGAAGTTTCAAAAACAATTTTTTTTTGTAAAACTTTTAATATTTACCTTTAACGTATATACATAAATATGTATGCACTTGTTGATCTACCGTATGGCAAACATATTTAAATCTCTCGCAAATACAGTTAAATAAATAAAAACATACATGCCARCAATCATAAGCATAAATCTACGCATGTAGACCAGTTATAAACTTTCACACAGAAGCTCCATTGGCCTATTACATACAAGACGCAAACGGTTAGAAGAATGGTTAATGGGCAAATTTTCATTGGAAAATTCTTATAGCCGAGTTTGATGCCTTTGATTGCAAAATATGGCCGTATCAAGATTTCTCACAGAGGAACAACAACAATATTAAACGTGTATTAGTGTATTGTAGAAACAGGTACAAAGTAAAGCTCCATAGAGCGGAGTTGTGTATATTTGCAGTTAGCAAATATAAACATTCACACACATGGGCATATCCGCACTTTCTACAGCGCTGTGTTGTTGTTCTTAGATTCAAAGTTCTCGTTCTGCAGCCTTGACTTTGGCTCATTGATTGCTTTGACCAGAGAATGTCTGCAATATATTTATGTTTGCTTACATGTGAGCATGCTACATGCAGCTGCTTGGTTTACTGGCCAAAGACCAAGTGGTTTATTGTCTCCCCGATTCCATCACCAACACACTTTACCTATTAAGTAGATGTCTATGTTTGCTGTCAATAGTAGTTGCCTAACAACAACAGGTTTTTTGCGTGTTCACGTTAATTTTATTTTTTTCTTTTTTTTTTTCAAAATATAAACATACATACATACAAATGTATACTCATGTATATGTAGAGTTACTGATATTTTTCGTGTCGAATAAACCGCAATTCGCATTGGAGTTTGGTCTTCCTCTTTATATAATTACTTAAAAACTTCATTAACACTGTTCACTAATCGAATCGCTTTGAAAAAGACTTTAGCAATATTCGTACTCATACATATTATATAATATGTTGGTATATAAAAAAGAAAAAAGCTAACCACAACACCCTTTACAGGTGTAAAACAGGCTTTAAATAGACTTTTATCTTGATTGTGATGGATTTGTTTGCTTTATCTTTGGAGATAAAAAAGTATTCTATACAAAGACTGGATTTTCATCGAACAGTTTCAATGACAGTGGTACAATGCCATACTGGTACAATATGGACGGTTCCGACAATTGAGCGGCTTTTTAAAGAGAAAAGAAGAGAAAAGAAGAAAAGAAAGAAATTACGGATTGATATCTAAAATACTTCGAGGATAATTCGCGTTTATATATACATATATTATATATCACATTAGATTCGAACTTACTGTGAAATAGAAATGTGGAGATGACAATAAAGTTACAAAAGCACTCATGGTGTGCAGAAGCCTGGCTGGAGTTTACTGTGGATGTAAGCCAAACATCATCAGGTGGCTGTATACCATGATCGTGAGTCCTATCGTTACATATAGCACGGTGGCTTGGCCGTCAGAGGCAAAGACTTCGGTAGGTCTTCAACTATCGAATCTGCAAAGACTTGCCTGCGTCTGCGTCTTTGGGGAGTGTAGTAGTTCCACACTTGACCTATTAATGAGGGGCCGCACTATTCGGTGGCACACTGACGGCTTGAAGACACCGAAGAGCATTGGAACAATCATTGTGCGATCACATACAAAGCATTCCTTACCCATGGGATGTTTTTCGAACTATTTTCAAGTAGAAGTCTTTGCCATAAGTCAGTGTGCAGAAATTAATCTCAAACGGAACTATCGTAACCAGCATATCGTTATACTCCGCCACAGTCAAGCGGCGCTAAAAGCGATCTAAGCTTTTAAGATTAAATCGCTATTAGTGGAGGAGTGTATAGAACGCGTTAAAAGAGCTGCTCCATACGTAGGAGCGAGCGGATAAAGATATTGATAGCATGCAATAGGTAAGTGAAGCATTATAGAGCTCCAAAACACCTTCTGGTTCAAAGTCATTGGATCCAGCAAGTTCCTGGAATTTATTATTGTTGTTGTAACGGGTATCTATCCCCGTTTGGATAGTAAAGATTAGAAGAGTTTTTATTGAGGTCATTCTCAAGAAACGTGCTGTTTCGACGGGATCAGACCGGGATGGAGTGTAAGATGGGTGGGGTTGGCACGGCATGCAAGGAGATGGTAAGCGTCATGTGGGGACTCGTTACACGCTGTTTTTGTAATTTGTCAGAGTGCTGCTCGTTTGGGAATACAAGTAGTGAAGCAGAGGGCACAATAGAACGCGATGCCCACCTTATCTTATTTTTATTAGATTTTTATATATTTTATACGATCTCCGGCGTTTCCTTCAGGGTGTTAAAAAGTTTGTGGCACTGTTCAGGGTATAAAAATAGTAAAGCACGAGTAAAACATAATAAAAAAAAAGTATACTTTCTTTAAATATATTTTTTTTTTTTTTTTTTTTTTTGTTTACTCGAAAGTAAGTAGTGAGGAAAATAAGATTTACTACTTTTTCTGTTTGTAATTATGTTTAATTTTTTCTTAAACTGCAATTTTGTATAAAAATACGAATTTGATATATTTATCTACTATATATTTACTACTTTAATAACTATAATTATACTACTTTCTACTTGAGGTACCTATTTAAGTAACGATTCCAATCTCTTCTGCGTGGCGTTAGCGGCAGATTTAGTTGTAGTTTGGGATTTTAGTAAAGCTGCCAGTTGTAACAGTGAATTTTGTTGCTGAGTTTTAGATTGTACCATCTTCGTTGTTATATTCGTAGGTTTAGCTTTTTTCTGCTTTTGTTTTTTAGCTTTGAGTGGCTGACTAAGATTGGTGGTGGGTTTAGTTGTTGCTTTATTTGGAGGATTTATTTTAGTCGCAACTTTATTACTTGGCTTTGGCTTTGATGTGTTTGTAGCTGTTGGTTCTTTTTGCTTAAGTATACTAGGTTCAATTTGCTTTTTGTCATGTAATTTTGTTAAATTTTTGCTTTTGTCAAGTTTCAGTCCAGCTGTTTTATCCTTATTTTTCTTCTTTTTCTTTTTTGCGTTAACTAGTGTGGGTGTAATAGATTCAGGAGTTGCGGATTCTTCTAAATCTGTATTGTCTTTATTTTCGCTATCATTTTCTGTTTTCCTAGGTTTTTCCAGTTTTATTGAGGTCTTATGTTGGCAGAGTTCGCATTCAATAACCTGAAATATTATATTTATAAAAGATAATTTTATTATGCATAATTATGATTCCATTATTTACTCACCACACTGCTTAGAACGCGCTTCTGTAGCCATTTGGCCCTCTTGCGCTGTTTTCTGGTTAGTGCTCTTCTTTTTTCGATGCTAGTTTTTGCTTCATTTAATTTCTCAATTTGCTTTTTTGCTTTAGTGGAATAGGTAATTTGTTGCGGCTTTAAAAACATTTTATAATTTGTTTCACTCCATTTGCTGGAGCAGCGAGGGCACATTGTGTTCTGTGAGAACTTGTCCTTTGGTAGATAAATATTAGCTTTTGCAAGTTTGCGACAGTTTGTCATAAAATAAGATTTTAGTAATTTTTTCGTGTGGTTTTCGGGCTCCAAAACTTTGGCACAATCCCATAAATATTTCACTTTAGTTTCAGCACTCATTTCAAGTTATTTCTTATTTATTTTCAGTTGTATAATACGCCAGTTCAATTATGTTGTGTTTTTAAGATCAGCTGTTCGGCGCGGTACCATGCCTTTGCATTCACTGAATGCACCACTTTACGTTGTCAATAAATTGCAAAAGATGTCACCACGGGCGTTCTTAAGCAATTGTGTAATCGGTACAATAAAAAAAATTATTTGTAACTATTTTTGAATTTTATGTTGCAATTAACATTAAAATGTTTATATATTGACAGTCTCAGATAAATACAGCAAATGCTGACAGTCGCTAAAGAAATTATTGCATTTGATGCTAAATTATTAAAGAACATCCGTTTTAAAACCGAATACTTGAGTAATCATATCCGTCTTATTTCATAACAGAAATGCATATCCGGTTCTGTGAAAGTATCTGTTGCTATTGCAACACTAGTGCATTTTTTACTTCACTAGATTCAAACGGTACTTTCGCGCGTCGGCGAAAATTGTAGATGTGTTTTTTATTTAGTAAATTCTTTCATTAAAAATTGATTTCAAAGAAGTTATTTAAATGATTTATTGTGTAAAGTGTGTCTGTGAAATCAAACGTAATAGTGGATATGATGTGCAATATGTGAAAGGGTGAAGAAAATTGTATAATACGTCATTCTAAAAATGGCTGCGTAGGTGCGAAGGGTTTGTGTGTGCAATTTTCTCTAAATTGAAGGAAAATGTGAAGTGGTTGTGGAAATAGTGTATTATTATGATAAAAAAGTTAATAAATGAAAGTGTATTTATAAAATATAAATAAAATTCTTAAAATGAAATTGCTGCACACCCCGTCATTTTATAATGTGTCTTGCGCAAATAGCTGGGAATTGGAGAAGGCTTTGTATATTGTGTTTTCTCTTAATTGAAGTGGTTGTGAAAATAGTACAATATTATGTTAGAAAAGTTAATAAATGAAAGTGTTTTTTATCAAAAATTATTGCCATGGAATATCTGCTTACCCCGTCGGCTGTTGCTTCTATTATCGCTGCATCCTGGAAACATACTTCTACATACATATGTATATATGTACATATGTACGTCCGGTAAGTGCTAGATTTATTCTTAAGTTTTCTTCTTCTTCTATCTGTTTAAAATTTGTACCTGGGTAATTTACCATGTAACACTAAACTCCATTTAAATAAATAAGACAGTGAATATGAAATACTTCAAGCTTAGAATGGTCTTGGATTTCCAACAATTCTACCTGGGTATAGAGGTAGACAAAATTTGTGTGTAATTGGTATACATGTACATATACACAAACATCGATGCTCTTATTTAGAGAACAGGAAGCATTGGTCCTATAACTTATTCGTTGCATTTTGTTCTGCATCAATAGGTTCCATAAACTGTTTTCGGTTTACAAACGAAATTCTTATATAAAATCGCAAGACATACTTTCAAAAAGTAAATAATAATCATCTTCATCATCATCAGAAGATAAGCTTTCAAAAACTCATATGTATGTATGCATTCAACCACAAATTTTGCCAAAGTTACCGAGAGTTGTCAGATGACTTCAAATACATTGCTCGGTTCCATTTGTCCTTTATACGCACTCATTTGGCATAAAAATTCAAGAATGCTATTGTCTATCTTTGTGTACTATTTAAAGTTATATCTCGCACATGCATATTAATACATATTTACTTACGTTAATATTTTTTGTAAAAATTTGTCCAATTTATTTAAAATTTTTCTAAAATCAGCTGATTGTCGTGAGCGCATATTTTTGATATTTTGTCATTGACTAAACGTACGCTGCAACAGTTATGCTTAAAATACGTTAGATGTCGCTGAATATCTTTATGAGAAAAAATGAATCGGAATCGGAACGGTTAGTTAGAATATTGGCTAAATTTAAATCTTATGAACAGCTGTTGTCGAAATTATTGCGTTTTGATTATTTTATTATTAATTATTAGCGCTTCACTCCAGACATGCATTTGTAAGAATTTTTCGAAAATAAACAACTTTCCATTTATGTAATGTTTTAAATGATTAATCCACACATCCGTCTTATATACAGTTGTAGCAACAATAAAAGTGATTCTCAATATCAATTTCCGGTTGCAAACGGACGTATCTTGTTTTTGACAACACTACCTCCGGTTTGAAAACCATTTCTGTTGTATTTTCTGTTGTTAGATGAAGCAATTATTCGTTGTGGTTATTTATTTAAGAAATTTATTTAACATATAAAAAGCAACAATACATTTATAAGCATTTCTTTATCATAGTTTGTATATTAAGTAATATTTAGAATAATTGTGGACGGTGATTTTTGAATATCTGAAAGTGTAAACAAAAATTTAAATAAGTGCAGCCTAGCAATGGCTGCACAAAGACGAGTCCTCGCCGTTTGTAAATACATAAGGCTGTAGATATGTATGTATTGAAATTGATGATTTGTCCTTTCTGTTATTGCTGTAGAGATGAGTATTGCTTATGATTAGTTGCTTTGTTGGTGATAATCGTGTTCTTGGTACCTTCTTCAATTCTATAATTAGTACCTAAAATAAAATTTAAAAAAATCATTTTTTGAAAACATGGTAGTGGCCTAAATTTCCACTATTTAAACGGAAACCGTTGCTTCGCTTAAAGCTCTAAAACTCATATAAAATCACATATTCAATACTTAAGACTTGCTTAAGGCTTTGGTGATCTCAATTCAATAGATTTAAATTTTTTATACAAACTGCAGCTTAACCACGTCTAATTGACTAACCTCGTTTTCCTCATATTTACTTCATGCGTTCGTGCCGTATTGTGGAAGCCAGATAGCATGCCAGTATAATGCCCAGTATTTGTATGAAGGCAATACCAATGCCCACACCAATTAAAATGACGGCGTTCTTATCGATTCGCTCCCTAAGTTTGCCCACGCAACCCTCCTGTTAAGTGAAAAACAAAAACAATTTTGAACATAGAACTTTTTATTCAACTACTGTATGTACTCACCTGAAAATACTTATCAACGCCCAACGCCAACGACTCAGTGCAGTGTCCAACGGCTTCATCAATGTATTTTTCGCGACAGCAGCTGGCCGGCAAGGTTTTATTGAGGCTAAGTGTACGCCAATCGGCTGGGTTGTCGACACCGCAACACATCAACTTTCGCTGCACATTATCCCAAGCTATCATATCCTCATGATTGGAACGTTTTATAGACTCTTGCAGTGAGTTCTTAAGCATCATTTCCAGGTCTGCCTTGAAAACAGCCGCGGCAATGCCCACGGCTAACTCAACAATGAAGATGATGGCGAGCAGCACGGCATACTGCGAGAGAGAGAGAGAGAGAGCGAGAGTGAGGGAGAAAAATATATTAAATTAATAAATCCCTCAAAGGCTCTAAATAACAATCACTTACGGTGAGCAGTAGCGTTGGCGACTCTTTGATGGCGCCAAAACAACCCAACGATGCAATCAGGAATATAATTAATCCGGTCACAATGAGCACAATGGGTGGCGCCGTCACTCTACCCTCAACAAAGTGACTGAATTGGTTGACATCGGCAAGGACAACCGCACCGGCTATTAAAATACCGAGCCCCGATATCTGTAAATGAATATCAAATAATTCGCTAAAAATCGTTGCAACTAATGTATTGTTATTTAAATGGATTTGTTATTGATCAGCAACGTAAATTATTTGCCTGGGCGTATGTGGCAATAAAGGCAGTAAAAAAATTGTTTTTCTTATGAAATATTTAAATGCTCATAAGGCAAAGTACTCACTAACGAACTGCGCTTGAAAGGTTAGTTCAATGTCAGATTAGAATTTGCGATAATGCCCATTGGTGCCACATGAAAGGTCCAACTGAATTTGCGTTGGCTTTGCGCCAGTGCCCAATTGCTAGCGACCGTTATTGTGCCCTTTATTATTCGTGTTTATCTCAAATCCAAACTCTTATTACAACAAATTTCCCTAATATATGGCGTAGTTAGTTTTGACGAGGCTCCTAATGTCAAAGTTAAGGCATGTCATAAAAAATTCATGCACTTTGCATATACATACATACATAGTTATGTACATAGCTATAATATATATGGCGAGGTATTGCGTGTGGTATTAACAATGGCATGACTTGGTGCTCTTCTAGTAAATCTATGCAACCGTGCGCTTTTCTAATTGGCCCCTTTGTATTTACGTGTACATACATTTTTATATAAATATTATATATATTTTTATTTAAGCAAGTAATTGTAATACACCCATTACTTCATCCCATATACTCGTTCTATACTCGAAGCAGGGTAAACTAAGTTTTACAAGGGACGATTTAACTATGTCCGTGTGTCGGTCATACTGTATATAAGCGAACTAGTTCTTAAATTTTTGAACTCAAGACGAAGTTCATCAATCGGCGCTGGCTTGTTGGCATATACCATTGACTTGACGTATCCCCACAGGAAATAGTCTAACGGCGTCAAATCGCACTACCGAGAATGCCAATTGGGCCATTTCGTGGAATAACACGTTCACCAAACTTGGTTTTCAATAAATCGATTGTCACATAAGCTGTGTGGCATTTGGCGACGTCCTGTTGGAACAGCTTATTGTTCAAGTCCATATCACCTAATTCGGGCCAAAAATATTCGGTTATAATTGAGCGGTAGCGATTCCCATTCACAGTAACGTGCCGATCTTGATCATTGCAAAATAAGTACGGCCCAATGACGCACCGGCCCATTAACCGCACCAAACCGTATTTTTTCGGGTTGCAACGGTGACTTATGGAGTACGTGTGGATTTTTGCCTGACATTTTGCTTATTGAAGAAGCCATTCAGTCAGAAATGATCCTTGTCGTTGAAGATGATTTTTCGATTTAAATCAGCATAATTTCACGAACATACGACGAGTGTGGTGGTTAGGCAGTTTCAGCTCTAGCGTCACTTTGATCTTGTAAGGATATAGGCCAAGATCTTTTCGCAAAATTTGCCACAACGACGTCACACAGATGCCCAATGCTTGAGATCATCGTGTGAGGGATTGATTTGAGTCATACTCAAATGATGCGCTAGCGGCAGTAATA